TTCCTCCTGGCTTTCTTTAACTGCAATGATCCCATGAAGGTGTGCAGTTCAAACAGCGTCAGAATTTCCATTGCTTGCCACTTACACGACAGAGGTGAGTAATGGGTCTCTCTGGGCCAAATTACATGAAAGTGCACAATGTCAGGAGAACTGTGTGTGAGGAGAAATTATCCCTACCCAGATTAAAAAAAAAAAAAAGCAGATTGAAACAGCAGGAGGGATAATTTACTATTGTCTAAGATATTACACCAGTAACAGTAAATGGGCCTGATTCCAGTCTGATGTCAGTCTAGCATGGGGGATAACTTCATTGGCTTTGAATGGTGTTAATTCTGATTTCTACTCCTGTGTGAGAGGAATTGGATCTGGAGGGTGTAACTTTCTTTCTGAGAATATTTTTCACTGTGCAACCAATTATAGTAAAAACGGTATTAAATAGAATGCTAGAGAGACAAACTTATACAAAAAGATCTTGTGAAAGATTCATTGATTCTAAGATCAAATCACCTAGTCAGCTCCCGTGTGAGACAGGCCAAAGAACTTTCCTAAAATAATTCCTAGAGTACATGTCTTATGAAATATTCAGCAACCATATCACACAAGATACTCTAGCAAAAACAAGTTTACTTGCCCGTAAAAGCCAATGAAGAGAGAGAAAACTGCAAAGAGTGTTTTTCCATTGACTTGAAATGTAAGATTCAGTGAGTCTTCACATGGAAGAAAAGGGTTTGGTCTTTATTAAAAATATTAAAATGTAACATGTGGTATAAAATCTTTTATAGACACGAGGACCTGTGCGCTGAAATGCACCAACTGATTTAGGAAATCAACTCATATTTAAAAAATGCGGAGAAAATAGACCCTGAAAAGCACCTCATTGTGACTTCAGCACATGAAACAAATAACTTTAAAAAAAACGCTTCCACATTATAAACTACTTTATGTACTTACTAAAATGAGATTAATTCCACCACAAACACTTTGTTACTAGATTATCAACGGCATGACTTTACAAAAAATGGAAGAGTAGATTTTTGTCCACAATAGATCGGTGCAATCTGGACCTTTCGGAGTTAGCATAGGAAAAAATGAATATTATTGACATACAGAATTATATGATAAAATAAGGACCCCATTTCATGATACATTTGGATAAGGAATGCTGAGATAGCTCGTCAGATCCCAGATTTCCATTCCACCTGCTATCTCTGCATTTCCCCCCCACTCCCAGTCACTTCCATCCTTTTTGTGGCCATGTAGATATGTCCATTTTTACAGTTATTGTTACTCTCAATCTAGCATGGTATCTCTATGTAATATTGTCTGATTTTGTGATCTCTGATCCTGCAGTTTTGACAAGTTGCATAACTGCAGAATTTCATTGGCTAGCCTATGAAATGCATTGTATTTGGCAACATACAGTCTATAAAGTAAACCGTTTACTTTTATTGCTTGATTCTTTATGAAAATTAATAAAAACACATGCAAATTAAAAACACTCTGCCAGCTGTTTTGGCATAATGCACATGTCAGTGCTCTTCAGTGTAGACAATGTTATATTGAAACAGCTGGCTGAATGATTTTTACTTGTGGTTTTATGTATCTGCGGCAATTCAGCTTGCAAAAACTGAAAGCTGTTAATGATGTTGGCTGTGGCACTTCTCTCTCATTAATTAACATTTAATGATTTTTCAACAATGCTGCAACTACTTCTCTTTTTTAGACAAATGAGGAAAAAATCTAGACACATGGTGAGCGAGTCTATGTTGTCAATGCCTGGGAAATGCAAAGCGATTTGCCAGTGAAGCCAGTTGCAGCATGTGCTTCATGTGTCAAAAATGCAAAAACAAAGGGAAAAATGGTTTTTCAAACTACTTTTTTCTAATGCTCTTGTTATAAGGCAAATATTGGCATTGCCACATGCTGTTTTGATGAGACTGAATCATAGAATCATAGAATACTAGGACTGGAAGGGACCTCGAGAGGTCATCGAGTCCAGCCCCCTACCCTCATGGCTAGGATGCCTGGTTAGTATCAGTGATCCTCAGCTATGTCATGGACCTTCAACTACTCCGAGCAAGTTATTAATCCACGGGAGATGGTCTGCACCGCAATTGTTATTTCTTAATTACAGTTCCACTGCATATGACATTGCAGGTCTTTTGGTGTCTATTTTTTCCAGCAAAGGCCAGATTCTGACATATTTGATCAGAATAAGCAATACCTGACTACATAAGTAGCCCCTTAGGTCTGAGTATCCCATACCTACATGCAATAAGTAGTACTCCACTCTGAGTGCTGAAATTAATTTCAATGGGATTGCTCGTGGTGCAAGTTTGAGAAAGGATAGCGGAATCTGCCCTCAATTAAATTATTTCCCCTTTAAAATGTGCACTAAATTTAATTAAATGTGACAACACATTATGAATCTGTGGTGTCAATTACAAGTTCAGATATATTCTCTCCAATAATGCTGTACAACTCAGAAGAATTAAAATTAGACCCTTTTATCCTCAACATCTCAGTGCAGACTTATGCTTTCTTACTGATTGATAATTTTTTTTTGGCAATTTACAACTGCTAATTTATTTCACATTAAAACATGAAAACTCCTTTTTTCTCTTAAATAAAGGAAACCATAAGAAACGAACAGTGGCTCTGGTGGTAAGTATCCTTACAATGTGTTTAAAATGCAGCAAATTAATTCAATAACACAGTATGAAACTCAATATTACAATGACAGTGCAGTTTGTCCAAAGGAAAAATATAGTATGACAGATATAATCAGAATTGTGCCCCGGACCTCCTATTTAGACCTAACCAACTCACATACCTAAAATACATTCTGTATTATAGAATGTGTGAATTGTAATGATCCTGCTAAAGGCTGGGTTAGAATGGGTCACTGGACCAGCAAGAGAGAATTCTGTTACAAAATATTTTTCTTTTGTTTTTCTTTCATTTCATTTTGTTCAGCGTCCAGGTGGAAAAGGGTTGTCATCAGCAATAAGAAATGCATTAAAATGGGCAGCAGGAGCAATCCGGGAAAATAATACTTAACTGATATAATGAAATCTGCCTGTGGTAGCCATTCTAAAAAGCCAACTACTCTGAAGGACTGCATAAAACATATGCACCATCATCTGGCTTGGTCAGAGTTTGCACAAAGTTTTGTATCTCTAATAGAATTTAGGGTGATCTCGTCCACCTAAGATTTTAGCACTTATTTGGCCTTCCCCTGGCTAGATCTGCCCACCATTGGCAGGGGTTTTGCTTGTTCGTTTATAACTAGCACTCTGGACTAGCACAACCACATCTCCGCTATGAGCTGTTCCCCCCCCAGACAGCCAACATCAGAGCAGTGGCACATGCAATGGCTGCTTTGTGGGGGTGACCAGCTGCTAGCCAGGGAAGTTTGTCAGTCTTCCTGGGGCCCCGAGGTGACAAATATCTAGGCCCTGACCCAAGGCCCATGGAAATCAATTCCCATTTGACTTCAATGGGCTTGTAATCAGTCCTAGGTTGCTGCTGTCCATGGTGCTGCCCCCTCCCGGCTATCCAATTCAGCAAACATGTGCAGCCACGGCTATTAGCTAGTGCCTCCAAGTGCACTGCACCGCCGGAGGAAGGGAGCCGGAGCAATGCAATGGCCGAGTGCCAGAGGCTTTGCAGTGGGCTGTCCAAGGCAAAGGGTTACTCCCGGGGAGCGGGATGCGCTGCGGAGAGGGGGCCGTGCCCTTGGGAGGAAGAAGGGGGACGCATCAGCCGCCCAAACCCCACTTACCTCCTAACGCTTGTTTCATAACAAAGTCCATGGTGATGGGATGGCTTTAGATTCCTCCTCGCTTGGGCTGCTCTCACATGCAAGCTGAGCGGAAAGGAGTCCTCGGACCGCAGCCTGAGATGAAGCCCCCCCCAGCAAGACAAAGCAGAGGTCGGTGTATAGGACAGAGAGCACCCCCCCCCACACACACACACACACACAAACACACACTGCCCTTCTCTGGGGGCGCGACCGCCTGGGCTCTGCGCTCCCCCCGCGCAGCAGCTAGGAGCCCTGCTAGGAAAGCTCGCTGGCAGGACAGGGCGAGTGACTTGGCAGCGCCGCGTGTCCGTCCCAATTGCGCAGTCTGGTCTCGTGTGTGTGTGTGTGGAGGAGAAAGAGAGAGAGTGACAGAGTGTGTGTGTGTCCCTCGTGTGTGTGTGACAGAGCGCGTGTGTGTGTGTCCGTGAGTGTGTGAAGGGGAAAGTGTGTGTGTGTGACAGTGTGGGTCCCTCGTGTGAGTGTCCCTCGTGTGTGTGTGAGAGCGTGTGTGTGTGTGTGTGTCCGTGAGTGTGTGAAGGGGAAAGTGTGTGTGACAGTGTGTGTCCCTCGTGTGTATCCCTGTGTGTGTGGAGGAGAGAGAGAGTGACAGAGTGTGTGTGTGTCCGTGTGTGTGTGACAGAGCGTGTGTGTGTGTCCGTGAGTGTGTGAAGGGGAAAGTGTGTGTGTGTGACAGTGTGTGTCCCTCGTGTGTATCCCTGTGTGTGTGGAGGAGAGAGAGAGTGACAGAGTGTGTGTGTGTCCGTGTGTGTGTGACAGAGCGTGTGTGTGTGTCCGTGAGTGTGTGAAGGGGAAAGTGTGTGTGTGTGACAGTGTGTGTCCCTCGTGTGTATCCCTGTGTGTGTGGAGGAGAGAGAGAGTGACAGAGTGTGTGTGTGTCCGTGTGTGTGTGACAGAGCGTGTGTGTGTGTCCGTGAGTGTGTGAAGGGGAAAGTGTGTGTGTGTGACAGTGTGTGTCCCTCGTGTGTATCCCTGTGTGTGTGGAGGAGAGAGAGAGTGACAGAGTGTGTGTGTGTCCGTGTGTGTGTGACAGAGCGTGTGTGTGTGTCCGTGAGTGTGTGAAGGGGAAAGTGTGTGTGTGTGACAGTGTGTGTCCCTCGTGTGTATCCCTGTGTGTGTGGAGGAGAGAGAGAGTGACAGAGTGTGTGTGTGTCCGTGTGTGTGTGACAGAGCGTGTGTGTGTGTCCGTGAGTGTGTGAAGGGGAAAGTGTGTGTGTGTGACAGTGTGTGTCCCTCGTGTGTATCCCTGTGTGTGTGGAGGAGAGAGAGAGTGACAGAGTGTGTGTGTGTCCGTGTGTGTGTGACAGAGCGTGTGTGTGTGTCCGTGAGTGTGTGAAGGGGAAAGTGTGTGTGTGTGACAGTGTGTGTCCCTCGTGTGTATCCCTGTGTGTGTGGAGGAGAGAGAGAGTGACAGAGTGTGTGTGTGTCCGTGTGTGTGTGACAGAGCGTGTGTGTGTGTCCGTGAGTGTGTGAAGGGGAAAGTGTGTGTGTGTGACAGTGTGTGTCCCTCGTGTGTATCCCTGTGTGTGTGGAGGAGAGAGAGAGTGACAGAGTGTGTGTGTGTCCGTGTGTGTGTGACAGAGCGTGTGTGTGTGTCCGTGAGTGTGTGAAGGGGAAAGTGTGTGTGTGTGACAGTGTGTGTCCCTCGTGTGTATCCCTGTGTGTGTGGAGGAGAGAGAGAGTGACAGAGTGTGTGTGTGTCCGTGTGTGTGTGACAGAGCGTGTGTGTGTGTCCGTGAGTGTGTGAAGGGGAAAGTGTGTGTGTGTGACAGTGTGTGTCCCTCGTGTGTATCCCTGTGTGTGTGGAGGAGAGAGAGAGTGACAGAGTGTGTGTGTGTCCGTGTGTGTGTGACAGAGCGTGTGTGTGTGTCCGTGAGTGTGTGAAGGGGAAAGTGTGTGTGTGTGACAGTGTGTGTCCCTCGTGTGTATCCCTGTGTGTGTGGAGGAGAGAGAGAGTGACAGAGTGTGTGTGTGTCCGTGTGTGTGTGACAGAGCGTGTGTGTGTGTCCGTGAGTGTGTGAAGGGGAAAGTGTGTGTGTGTGACAGTGTGTGTCCCTCGTGTGTATCCCTGTGTGTGTGGAGGAGAGAGAGAGTGACAGAGTGTGTGTGTGTCCGTGTGTGTGTGACAGAGCGTGTGTGTGTGTCCGTGAGTGTGTGAAGGGGAAAGTGTGTGTGTGTGACAGTGTGTGTCCCTCGTGTGTATCCCTGTGTGTGTGGAGGAGAGAGAGAGTGACAGAGTGTGTGTGTGTCCGTGTGTGTGTGACAGAGCGTGTGTGTGTGTCCGTGAGTGTGTGAAGGGGAAAGTGTGTGTGTGTGACAGTGTGTGTCCCTCGTGTGTATCCCTGTGTGTGTGGAGGAGAGAGAGAGTGACAGAGTGTGTGTGTGTCCGTGTGTGTGTGACAGAGCGTGTGTGTGTGTCCGTGAGTGTGTGAAGGGGAAAGTGTGTGTGTGTGACAGTGTGTGTCCCTCGTGTGTATCCCTGTGTGTGTGGAGGAGAGAGAGAGTGACAGAGTGTGTGTGTGTCCGTGTGTGTGTGACAGAGCGTGTGTGTGTGTCCGTGAGTGTGTGAAGGGGAAAGTGTGTGTGTGTGACAGTGTGTGTCCCTCGTGTGTATCCCTGTGTGTGTGGAGGAGAGAGAGAGTGACAGAGTGTGTGTGTGTCCGTGTGTGTGTGACAGAGCGTGTGTGTGTGTGTGGAGGAGAGAGAGGCCCAGGAGCAGGCGGCGGTGCCAGCGCGGGAGCCCTTAGGCAAGGGCACACGGCCATGCCCAGGACAGCGCCCCCGCCCGCGCTCCTCCCCCGGGGCTGGTTTCGCTGCGGCTCCC